AACTTCCCAAATACAAAATAGGCTTTTTAAGAGCTAGTTTCAAACTGAGGTCTGTCAGCTCTTAACCAAAATTATTTCCAGCACATTTGATTTTCTTTGATGGTTAAAACACTTAAGACAATACCACCAACTTAGGGAAAGCCCATAATATTGGCCAGTAGCTTTATACCGAATGCCTTACTTAATGCCTACAGTAACTCAATGAGAAGGCAAAACACCAACCTGCTTCTCTGGGATTTAATGGAAGGCCTGAGGGGAAGATAATCTAGTCAAAGATGCCCCCTAGTGGTAAAGAGCAATATGCTCATCTAAACCTCTGCCTTTTCAGTTCCATACCCAGATGCATCTCTGAGCCCCAGGCCCAGCCATAGACCCCCATACCTCCCTGCTGTCTTCTCATTCTTTATTGCTGGCTGCTGAACCTACTACAGAGACTGTCTAGAAGACAGTGAAGTTGTCTGTTCTTGGTTATGCATTTTTTTCTTCCCAGTGAGACAGCTTCTCAGGTTCTTTATTTAGTTTACAATGGATGGAAAGTGAGTGCTCTAATTTCTTACATATCTTGCCTCTAGCAAATACCCTAAAATATATCACTAAGATTTCTCCTGATAACCATGATATTTCTTTCTACTTCTCATATCTTCTTTTTCCTTTTACTTGTTTTTTCACCTGAACCAAAATACCACTAATTTCAAAGTGTACTAGACTAAATTATGATAAATCTTACTTGTTTGTAAACTTTAATGGGATTATTTGAATGGCTAAAGTTTTTCTGGTTTTACCCATAACCTGCCTTGAGATTATAGCATGTCAGGCTGTTCAATATTCCCAGGTGTGGGCTTTCTGGGCTATCCTTCTGAGTGAAAACATCACATGATCTGCAGAATAACTCCATTGCTTTTATGGCAAAGGAACAGTGACCAGATTATGCTTGTCCATTAGATGTCTCAATTTCTCATGTATATACACTTTTTTGTTCTGTACTACCGATATACCTTACTAATTTACATCAATCAATCTACTACCTATTAGTCAATCCATCCATCCATCCCATCCATCCATCCATCCACCCACACATCCATCCAATGTATGCTGAGTCCACCTTGAAACACCTCATTACCACAGTTTCTTACTCACCATGATGATACTAAATGAAGTGAATTTTACCAACCCACCCACCCATCCACCCAACCAATCAACCAACCAACCAACCAATCAGTCATCTAGAATACATATTGTGCATTGGGACCATATCTTACTCTATAGTATACTGTGTTTTACCACCTATGTTTGTTATACAACACAATGATTCATTAGTAATTAAATAAATTAAAACAAATAATAATGGCTAGTAAGAAGCACAGGAGTCTTTTTTTTTCATTATAGCACTTTATTGTCCAACATTGAAATTAATATTTTATGTATGTTTCACTTCATTTAGAGATATAATTGATTGCTGGGCACTAATATCTCATATCTGTAATCCTAGCTACTCAAGAGGCTGAGACCTGAGGCTTGCTATCCAAAGCCAGTCTGGACAGAAAAGACTGTGCAATTCTTATCTCCAATTAATGAGTAAAAAAAGGTCAGAAGTGAGGCTGTGGCTCAAGTGGTAGAGCACCAGACTTATGAGTAAAAGATAAACGACAGTACCCAGGTCCTGAGTTTAAGTCCCATAACTGGCACCAGGAATAAACAAATTTTAAAAACGTCTTAAATATATAGGAGAGAAGAAGGAGCCTGGGAAAAGCAAGAGGACAAGGCCAACGGGACTGGAGAAGAACATAGAGATTGCTAAGCATGAACTCCATTGTTTGAATGGGCAAATGAACAGCCAGGAGATAGAGACAAGGTCACAGAGCTCATGGTGATTCTGGTCTAGCCCATGCTGTCTCCTGTCTCAGTACAAGTGCATTATGGTCAGTTATAGAGCAACCCTGCTGTGCTCAGGACAGGCAGCAAGCCCTCCCTCTTCTGTGTACATGCAGACTTCCAGGTTGTGTAGGTTAAGGACCTGGACAGTAAAGTGGATTTTCTGTTCACAGGAGTCTTATGTATGGATTCATACCATTAAAAATCACACTGAATTAATGCTAGCAAAATTAAAACGTGGATAAAAGCATAAATCAGATAATTATATTCGTGATGTAACATTTCATTTTCTTGATTAATTATTGAGTTTTAAAACAATTAAAATTAGATTAACAATTAGAAAAGATACTAAGTTTTCATTTTAAGGCTATCCCTTAAAATAAGTGGACTATTTCATATTTGAACACTACTCTGCCAAAATGAATATAATATGCCTTGCATTTCATAATTTTTCACATGTTGCTATTTTAAATTCTGAATACAAATGAGAATTCCAAACAGTCAGAGAGAAGAAAGTCAAATTTGTGTCTTTGTTTTTACAATCATTGTGTCACTACTGTTTATCTGAAATCTACTGTTAATACTGAATCTACTGAATATTCAGTCACTAAATGTTAGAGATACAGGTTGTACCTGAACTGAACTCTAGTGATCCAGAACTGTTATGAACTTAACCTTGGAAGGAAGCAGGTGTAGCTACCTCTGGTTAGAGTTATGGTGGGAGAGTCTCCGGATCAACTTCCATGCAACAGAGAATACGACAAAAAAAACAACAAAAATGTACAATGCAATGAAGATTTTTTTTAACATAAGTGTGCTAACTTGAACTTACATACATATTGTTAAAATTCACTAGTAATCAGCAATTGTAGTTAGCCTTTCCTCTCCCTCCCCTGTCCCCCCAAGGGAGGAGTATCTTAAAACTGTCATTGTTTAGAATTGCCGGTACAAGATGATTGTGTTAGACAGCTTTCTGTCAATATAATGAACACCTTAGAGATGATCAACTTATAAGAGGAAGGGCTTATTTTGGCTAACAGTCTTGGAGCTTCTAATTTATGATCTGTAGACACACTGCTTTTTAGATCTCATGACATAGTGGAGCAAAATCGCTCACCTCATAAATGAGAAAGGAAGTGGAAGAAGCTGGGACACTGTCCTTCTCAAGGGCAAGCGCCAGTGGATTCTACTAGGAATTTCTCCATCACTTCACTCTAGACCATGATGCTGCCCAATCCTTGGACCTTTAGGAGATACCACATCCAAACTATAACCGTGTTAAGAAGCAACGCAAAGCAGGGAGTTGGTGGCTCACACTTCTAATCAGGAGGCTGAAATCTAAAGACCACAGTTCAAAGCCAGCCCAGGCAGAAAAGACTGTGAGACTCAAATTTCCAATTAAGCAGCAGAAATCTAAAAATGGAGCTGTGACACAGTTGGCTGGGGGCCAGCCTTGAATAGAAAAGCTAAGCAAGAATGTGGGGCCCTGAGTTCAAGCTCCAGTGCCAGCACAAAAATGCCATAAAACAAAACAGAAAAACAGCAAAAACAATGAGATTCTATCTGGGATAATGTATCATCTAATCCCTATCCCAAGGTGAACTCTTTGAACTAAAGGAAACGAGTCAAAGTTGGGAATTTGTGATTTAAGATGCACCTGCCTGCCTTCATTCACCCATGCAACAAGTTCTTTCTGGTATATGCTACATATCATGCACTAAGTATAAGATGATGAGTAAGTCATAGATGTAAGGAATTTACAACCTAGTGGGTGATATTGATGGATTGACAAGTACTGAGCAACAGAGCTACAACTGTGGCAAAGATGTGAACTGAGTAAGAAGGATGCCAGGTGCTACAGAGGGAATGGCATTGGACACAAAGTCTCAATTGTGTACACAAGTTGACATTTTTTGTTGTTTTTGTATTTTTTTATCATTTTAAAATTTCTATTATCTTTGTTTTCTATTATTAAGTAATTGTAAAAAAGAGTTGTCATTCAACAAAACAATTTATAAATGTAATATGTCTAGATCAATGCCACCTCTTTCAATATTCTCATCCATCCCTCCCCTACCTCCCTCTCCCCTCATTCTTCTTAATTTTGAAGGATGCAGATGCGTGCGCGTGCGCGTGCACGCGCGAGCACACACACACACACACACACACACACACACATTGGATTTTTTTTTTTTTTTTGCAGTCCTGGGACTTGCACTCTGGGCCTGGGCGCTGTCCCTCAGCTCTTCAGCTCAAGGCTAGCGCTCTACCACTTGAGCCACAGCGCCACTTCCAGCTTTTTTTCTTTTTGCTTATGTGGTGCTAAGGAATCGAACCCAGGGCCTCATGCAAGCAAGACAAATGCTCTACCACTGAGCCACCTTCCCAGCCCTCCCTGAGCTTCTTTGGCTCAAGGTTAGCACTCTACCACTTGAGCAACAGTACCACTTCCAGCTTTTTCTGTTTATATGGTACTGAGGAATTGAACCCAGGGCTTCATGCATGGTAGGCAACCATCCCAGTTCACATTGGATTCTTGACTACATTCTCCCCACTATCCTCTTCATTCATCTACCCCTTTCCTCTTGTCCCTACCCCCCACTCTTTTGAAGTATCCAATTCTTGGTGTCTTATTTTGCTGGACTTAGATTTTGCTTTTCTAAGGAATTACACTATTGGAGATCTCCCTGGAATTTATTGTAAGTTGATCTTGTTGATACCAGTCCTATCTTTCTGCCTTCGCCAGAATATAGTCAAATTCCCAAAAGCCATCCTCACACTTTCTGTTTCCTGCATGACCAGCACCAGAAATCCCTTAGTGAGGTTTGGATTCTGATACTTCCTCTATGTCCTGCCTTCTCAGCCCAGAGTGCTCAGAACAGGCTCTCTTGGGCTGCTTCCTCTGAGAGGGGCCCCCAAGTATCTCTTCCCATTATAGGCAGACAGAACTCTGGATCAAGCCTAGACTGGCATTGTCTGGTATAACTGCGACACCAGAAATGCCATGTTATTAATATAGATGTAATCTAATATTCGTGTACTTGCAGTCAACATATTATTATAATATAGATGAGAAGAATAGGGATTTCTAGAAGAATAAAGATTAAAAATGTCCTTGATGTGTTAAAGTCTTTATTTAGTTTATTAAGCTGTTTTTTCTATTAAGCTGTTTGTTTTTGCAAAGAACATTGGAGAAAATAGGCATTTGACATGGCTGCTTTGCTGGGTGACATATTGTTAATCACAGAAACATTTTGTACCAAAACCATGTACATTTACAATGAGCTTTTGCAGACATTCTTTCAGCTAGGACTGAGGAATGAAGGAAGCCTCTGCATAAATTCTGTTTTTAAAATTTAAGCCCTGCTTAGAGTTCCAGGCAGAACTTTATGGAAGTTCCTTCCATCTTTCTCTTGTAGATTTCATCAAACCTCTCATTCTGGGACACGGTGAAGTGGTTTTTCCAGTCACCAACCATTCCTAAAAGACAGAATCCCAGCATTAGTCTCTGACTGACAGACCTAGAGGCCTTGGGTAGACTATGAAGTGCCCACATTGGGACTGCCCCACCTGACTCTCCTTTGATGGGCACTGAAGCTTTCTGGGAGAAGCAGCCATAGTGGGCTGGGTGCAGAGGTACAGGCTTCTAAATCATGCAGATGCAAGGGAGCTGGTGACATGGTACAACCTAGCCTTACCTGGATGCCTTTTTAGCTGAAGAGAAGCAGAATTGTTTGATTTGTTTCAGAAGCATGGCTTGATGTGCATAGATTGGAAATTGCAGAGAAATAAATTCAATTATGAGTAAAAAATTAGAAGAAAGATGTTATAAACTGGCATGCAAACCAGAGTCCACTGTTGTGAGAAAGAGAAGTTGTTTATGAAACAGACAGGAAGATAACTCTATGTTGTTGGTAGCTAACTTCTTTTTTTTTTTTTTTTTTTTGGGTCCGGTTGTGGGGCCTGAACTCTGGGCCTGGGCACTGTCCCTCAGCTCTTCAGCTCAAGGCTATTGCTCTACCACTTGAGCCACAGCGCCACTTCTGGCTTTTTTCTTTTTGCTTCTGTGGTGATGAGGAATCGAACCCAAGGCCTCATGCATGCAAGGCAAGCGCTCTACCACTGAGCCATCTTCCCAGCCCTAGGTAACTTCTTTGTAGTGGGATTTTTTGGGAAATCTTTATTTATAAGCATATAATCCTGTATTGCTTTAATTTTCACAATTATTTAGTATATTACTTAAAAAATTTTAAATTGTTACTATAGAGGTGATGTATAGGGGTTACAGTTACATAAATCAGATAAGGTGTAGTTTTTTTTTTTAACATCTTCCCTCTTCCATTTTCCCTTTCATACTTTTAAAACAAAAATTTGTGAAGTGGTTTTTTCTCCTGTATAAAACATTTTCTTGGCCAACTAAAACTCCTGCTTTTGGAAACAAGAGCTAAGAAATATTATGGGAAGGAGGCAGGCGGCTTGTTGCTATTTCTGGCTCATGCCTGTGATCCTAGCTACTCAGGAGTCTGAGATCTGATGATCACAGTTGAAAAACCAGCCCAGGCAAGGAAGTTTGTGAGACTTTTTCTCCAGTTAACCAAGTGGAAGTAGAGCTGTGGCTCAAGTAGTAGAGTGCCAGCCTTGAGCAAAAAGTTAAGAAACAATTCCCAGGTCCTGAGTTTAAGCCCAAGTAGTACTGGCAGGAGAGAGGTGGGGGAGGGAGGGAGAGAGAGAGAGGGAGAGCAAAAGAGAGAGGGAGAGGGAGAGAGAGGAAGAACATTATTGTTAAGAATCATGATGTAGAGAAGATTTGGTTAAGGGTTAAGGTCAAGAAATTGAGGCAGCAGAAACTCTAAAGTAGAAAAACAATACAATAAGGTAGAGTGGAGGAAAGCAGGCATCGATATGGACAGTAGCTGGGACTGTAAGTAGACCCATAGGCTCTTGTTGCTGAGGCCCCAGATACTATAGTTGAGGGTTCCTAGTGAGATCTAGACAATGGTAGCTTTGCCCTCAGTTATCAATGGACTGCATAACTTCTGTTATTTGTGGACCTCTCATCTCTCATCTACATTGGGCTCAAGTCCTCAACCTTGTTAGAAACAGACATAAATAATTAAAATGTGTTGTCTTTACATTAATCATACTGTACATCCTCTTGGCAATAGGTTTCTAGAAAAGTGGAGTATTTGATAAAAAGACCCCACAAACCTTTCCTCATGAAGGGTGAAATGGACTGGTCCATCATAGATTTGGGGACTGTAGAACGATTTGTCATGGGATTTTCTTTCATTTTCTCAAATGCTGTCTCCTGGACAATTGTATTCAGCACTGTTTCATCCAAATTCTTTCCCATGAACTTAATCACCTTCTGAATTTCATGCTTCGGGTCCTGTGGCGAGGGTGACATTGCATTGGAAAGAGAGTTTCAGAAAGACATGTTTTAATCTCTGTCCCTCCAAAAAGGCCAACCCTGAAACAGATCTGGCTTCTTTACCTGCTCTGAAGTGGTTTTTACTCACCCTCTTTATATCCTCATAAAAGAGGAACAGGATCTGGTATCTGTCTTTAATCTCCCACCATCCTTTCACGTGGTCAAACCAGGATCCCCAAACCACTGCAACAGATAAGAAAGAACATCTATACAGAGATTACACAGTCTCCCAAGTAACTAGGCTTGAGCCACTAGAGCCTGGCATTACTGATAGTTTGAGCTAAATAATTCTTTATTTGTGCTATTGAGAAGCAATGGGGTGATGAGAGGATCACTCTATACATAGGTTAACCCAAAGATGAGTTCAGACTGAATGGAGATAGTAGGCCTTGGCCCCCTTCTTCTCTCTCTGTTTTTGGGCTGCCAAAGAAGTAGCTTTGCTCCATCACACTCTCAGACCATGATATTCTGCCCCACCTCAGCGCCTGAGCAAAGAAGCCAGCCAGCTCTTTCTGAATTTGGAGCCAGAATACATCCTTGTTCTTTTAAATGGTTTTCTCAGGTATTTGTCATAGCAACAGAATACTAACAGAGATATGAAGTATTTTTTCCCCTTACCTTTTCCATTGATGAAGGTTTCAAAATACTCTTCCCACGTACCAGGTTCAGGGAGCCCTTGATTCATCTTTTGGAAATGGTAGTAGGAAACCATGCAGTCTTTGGCATTCCGAGCTACATAAAGGAACTATGGGATAAGAAAAGAGGTGGGTAAAGGATGGTAGTAAAAATAGATTTTCACAGAATTCACTTGGGTTGATTCCTACTGAGAGTGGCTGCAACATCCACTTAGCTCTTCTGTTCTAGCAACAAACGTGGCCTTGTATCTGCCAATTCTGCTCTCTTTTCAACGCAGTCCTATTTGTTCAGTAGTCAACTAGCTTGATTCCTGATTTCTTCTTTGGTATCAGAAGCAAAATTTTCCTTTAGAAATGATGACTTGTTATTTCACCAAGAAACTGCCATCTAAGTGTTGGTAAGCTTTCTCCTCATCTTGGAGAAGTAGGATTGCCAAACTGGTGCCAAGCTAGGTGCTGGTGGCTTATGCTTGTAATCCTAGCTTTCTAGGCATTGTTTCCCAAGAGACAGATCTTAAAACATTAATGGTAAGGAAACACTCAGCAGATTATACAGCAATCTAAATATAACTGACAATAATTTGAAATTGAGAACTTCTCATGGTAATTAAAAACTTTGTTCTGGCAATTCTCCTCTTCCCTTCTTTTTGTGCTGGAACTTGAACTCAGGTCTGTCGCTCTTGCTTGGCTTTTTTTTTTTGGTCCTGCCGTTTGAGTCACACCTCCACTTCTGGCTATTTGTTGGTTATCTGGAGATAAGAATCAAATGGACTTTCTTGCTCCAGCTAGCTTCATGTGGGGATCCTCAGATCTCAGCTTCTTGTATAACTAGGATTGCAAGTGTGAGCCATTGACAGCTGGTCAATTTCTTTTAATTATTAATTTTTTTTAGTTGGTTGTGGGGCCTGAACTCTGGGCCTGGGTGCTGTCCCTCAGCTCTTCAGCTCAAGGCTAGGGCTCTATCTCTTGAGCCACAGTGCCATTTACAGTTTTCTGGTGGTTAAGAGGAGATAGGAGTCTCATGGACTTTTTTACCTGGGCTGGCTTTGAACCTTCATCCTCAGATCTCAGCCTCCTGAGTAGCTAGGTTTACAGGCTTGAGCCACCGGGACCCGGCTTTCTCTACCTTTAACTGTTACTTTGCATTTGGCAAAGCATCTCTTTAGGTTTCACTTTGACTACAACTTCACATTTTTTTTTCTTTGCTGTCTTTCACTTTCACTAAGTCTAACTTTACTGTTACAAAATAGTTACTTAGCTCACATTTTCAGCATCAGTCCCAAAGTGGCTTCTTTTTAAAGTTATTTAATTATTGACAGTACTGGATTTTGCATTAGGTGTCTTGTGCTTGCTTACTAGGCAGGTGGTGTAACAACTGAGCTACAACACCATTGTAGTATTCTGACACTTTGACACTTTGGAGCCTTGCTGACTCTACTTGTTCCTTTGAAAAATAGCTCATTTCTGGAAACAGTAAAGATGCAAATGAGCCAACCCAGAGCCTACAGTCTAAGCATCTCTTTTAGGAGGCCTTCAAGTTGTCTCCATCCATGTGTCCACTCAACTCAAGACCAAGTGGCAGATGACTAGGCACAACTCTATGCCTCAGGGCCTGCTGAAATTATTCCAGCCAGCCAACCTGGAGAAGCTTATCCCACTCTCCAGTTCCTTCCATCAGAAATATAATAAAAGCTTTTGTGTACATTGTCCGTTCACTCTCTCTGCCTCCTGACCAACCCTGGGACTTCTCTGTGGTTTGCTGCATCTCCTGTTTCTAGGATTCTGTCAACACAAACCTCTTCTTCCGTGACAATCGATTCCAAGTCCCTTTAAACAAATGCTGAAATTGAGGAGTTTTGCTCTAGAAGATATTTATTACCATCCTCTAAGTCCTATCTCCAACTCACCAAGATACTAAGTTCCAATGAGAAAGTTAAAATAAAATGTTGATGAAAAAAAGTCCACCTGGATTCTCAGACTTTTTAACCTCAAGTTGTCCCTCATTTCATTGTTGTTGACATTTTGAAGATTTCTTTTTGCTCCTCATATTTCTTACCTCTTTCACAAAAATTTTCTTTCTTTTCAAGCTTCCATGCTATCTCTTGTCCAAGTTAATGAATTCCCTATCCAACTGTATCTATTCTACATGTTGTGTACTCTTCATTATTAATTTTCAGTGTTTGCATTTTCTGCTATAGAAAACTCATTAATTTTTCTTTTTCTTTTTTTGAGCTGGGCACTGGTGGCTCATGCCTGTAGTCCTAGCTACTCAGAAGGTTGGAATTTGAGGATCATGGTTCGAAGGCAGTTTGAGCAGGAAAGTCTGTGAGAATCTTGTCTGCAATTAAGCAGCAAAAAGCCAGAAGTAGAGCTGTGGCTCAAGTCTTAGAGAACCAACCTTGAGTGAAAAAGCTAAGGGGCAGTGCCCTGTGTCAGAGCTCAGGCCCCAGTACCTGCACACCCAGTATCTTTCCAATTCCTTTATTTTTGTTTCAGTGTTCACATTATTATTATTATTAATAATTATTTTGCTAGTCCTGGGGCTTGAATTCTGGGTCTGGGTGCTGTCCCTAAGCTCTTTTCTCTCAAGGCTAGCACTCTACCACTTGAGCCAAGGCACTACTTCTGGCCTTTTCTGTGATTAATTGTAGATAAGAGTCTCATGGACTTTCCTACCTGGGCTGGCTTTGATCTGTCATCCTCAGGTATCAGCCTCCTGAGTAGCTAGGATTATAGGCATGAGCCATCGTTGCCTGGCAGCCTTTCATTACTTTATATAATTTAACATTTTCTTTATTTCAATACCTGGCTAAATTTGTTATCTGAAATTCTTAAGGTCTAAATGCTGTATATTCTTTCTGCGGACTCTCTCTCATGGTGGCTCATTCCTTTGTGGTTTTGTAGTGTGGGGTGGTCATATCTCAAGTCTGAATCCTGGGGGACCTGTGTGGCATTGAGATGTTCTTTCAGAGAGGATCTGTGTGTGTTTGCCAGGGTATCCTGGAGATACCAGTGCTGAATACCACCTTATACTGACAGGTCAGCTGTAGTTCCTTTGACAATGTAGGGAGTGCCAGTTTTTATTTTTTCCTTTCCTTCTTTTCTTCCCCTCCCTCCCTTCTTCCCTCCCTCCCCTTCCCTCCCTCCCTGCCTCCCCTCCCTCCCTCTGTCCTTCCCTCCTTTCCTTCCCTTCCTTTCCTTCCTTCTTTCCTTCCTTGCTTCCTTGCTTTCCTTGCTTCCTTGCTTCCTTGCCTCCTTGCTTGCTTGCTTGCTTCCTTCCTTCCATGTGTGTGCTAGAAATGGAGCTTGAACTCAGGGCCTAGTATTCTTGGTTGGCTTTTTCACTCAAGGCTGATGCTCTACCACCTACACTTCCACTTCTGGTATTTTGCTGGTTAATGGGAGAGTCACTAGGATTTGTCTGTCCAGGCTGGTTTCAAACTACAGTCTTCAGATCTCAGTCTCTGAGTAGCTAGGATTATAGGTGTGAGCCATAGCACTAACATTTCTTTTGGTTTCTTGTGTACTAGGCTCTGACCTTGTGTGTATTATCTAGGTCATCATACCCCAGCAAAACAGCTCTAGCATCAGTTCACTTCTCTAAGTTTCCCATCTTTCTTCATTTTTGGAGCTTAGGGACTTTCTATACTTAATTTTTATTTCAGTCATGCCTTTTAAGAGGACACTTGTTATGTGTCATGCAGCATTTATTAGTATATGAAATGATTACAGGATATTTGGTTTTCCATAACCCTGGAAGCAGAAATTCTCATCTCCTTAACTATCTTTAACAAGAAGAAATCAAGGCCTTTGCTCATGTGAGTTCCCCTAACTATACTCCTTTCCCCAGAATTTATCTTCTAAGTTCTTTCCTCTCCTTTCCAACCTCTGAGGAAATAATGTCCCTCCAAGCAAGACTGGCAGGTCTTCCTGGGCCCTTGCTCCCTTAGGGGCTGCTCACCCTTTCCTGGAACATTATAAAGCACATGATAAATAAGGTCCCAGGATAAATGAGGAGACCACAGTCTTAGCCAACTGTCTCCTGTTCCTTGTTATCTGCAACAACTCTGTGTGGCTTCTGCTTTCCTATCTTGTTTGAGGCCATGAAGGTGAGCATCATTCTGAATGTGGGGTTTAATTTTTGTTAGTGCTGATATGCTGCCCACCCTCAAGAGGTAGTGGAGAGGTAAAAATGAGGACATTGTGAGCTGGGGTTTTCAGGACTTGCTCTCAGTAGGCTTTCTTTTCCCCTAGGAAGCTGCCATCTTACCTTGCAGTTGTTTTCCCAGAAAGATGGTGGCAGCAACTGAGTGGACAGGTGAGTCCTTAGTATCCGTGGAGAGGGCATTGCATTTGCTTTTTCCACCCCTTTAACACAAGTCAGTAGAAAATATCTGCATGGTTAAAAGTACTGGGGGACTTTGGCTCCATAGTCTGTTTAGAGCATCCTATTGGATGCCCATCTATTTTTTCCTTCTTTTCCTTTTTTTAAAATTAGAAATATACTACCTTCAAGCCAGGCACAAGTTGCTCACACCTGTAGTTCTAGTTACAAAGAAGGCTGAGCTCTGAGGACCACAGTTTGAAGCCAACCTAGGCAGGAAAGTCCATGAGAGTTTTGTCTCCAATTAACCAGCCAAAAGTCAGAAGTGGAGTTCTAGTTAAAGTGGTAAAGCACCAGTGTTGAGTGAAAAAGCTAAGGGACACTGCACATACACACATCTTCAAATTGTTATTCAAAGTCATTATAATTTAACATGTCTATTTATGTTTATGGTGCATCTTGACTACAGTCACTTTCTCCAGATCCCACCAATTTCTTTTTTCCAGTTCTGGAGCTTGAACTCAGGCCTCTTTTTTTTTTTGATATTTTTTGCTTGGTATTTTCCCTCAAGGCTGCTACTCTACCACTTGAGCCACAACCTCACTTCTGGCCTTTTGCTGGTGAATTGGAAATAAGAGTCTTATGGACTTTCCTGTCTGTCTGTCTTCAAAGTATGATCCTCAGAACATAGCTTCCTGTTTGGTGAAAGTCAAACTCTTAACAAAATTACAAAACAAGTGAGGAAAATTGCCCTATGAATGCCCAGGGGAAATAAAATCTGAAAGATCCTTAGTTCCTGCATCCATAGACACAGAATATAAATAACTATGTGAAAATGTGCAAAGAAATAGAAGAAAATGGTGACTGTAAATATGGAACAATGAGTACTAAAGAGATTGGGGAACTGCTTCTATAAGTGAATTCAGTTAAAGAGCAGATCAGGTACACATGAGAGGAAAAAACCATCATAGAGCTAGAGAAGCACAAGAAAGAAACGAATGAAAACAATTGGAGACACAGCAGCAGATACAGAAGACAGAAGGCAAAGGTGAAGTCAGCCTATGGACCAAGACTCAGGTGAGTCTCTCTGAGGTTGATATTTCTTCCCAATATGGTGACTCTCATCTTCCTTCTGTGGACAAGATTCCATGCCCTGCTGCGGTGACGATCCAGGGCCTCAATAGAGCTTGGTCTTCCAACTAGAAGTCTACATTTTGACTACAGCCACCTTCCAAGGTATCAAGCCAGCAGCTGTTCTCTCCTGACCAGTCCTCTTGTGTGTGTGTGTGTGTGCGCGCGCGCGTGTGTGTGTGTGTGTGTGTGTGTGTGTGTGTGTGTGTTGTTGTTGGCCCAGCTCCAACTCCACCTACTTTCTTCCCAAGAGCCCTAGAGTAGAAAGTGCTTTTTGGGCTTGGGGCCTCTACATAAAGCAGCCTACCAGTGTTTCATGTCTGTTTACTTCTCTCTTCCTCTCTGCCTCATTCATAACCAAAATGACTTGTTGTTTTTCTCGCTGCAGCCCCTGCATGGCCTAAGATGCTCAAACCCTGGTTTGGGAAGCACAGGGTGGGAGATCTTGGGAAGGGCACACCTCAGTCTCAGAGCCCACTGCTTCCTCATTGGCAGGGAGCAAGGGGGCATTTGGAGTCATTTTTTTCTTTTACTTTCATCATCTGCACCAAGATCCTCATCACTAATATCCTAGCCCTGGGATTGGAGCCAGATAGATTATGGCTGTGTGAATCACAGACACACAAATCACTCCATTCAGTTTTGTGCCAGTGGTCTTCCCAGGGTAGGAAATTAGCAAGCTTTTATTTTTTTCTCCATGTAGAGTACTGGCAGTCTGGCAGGAGAGACAGGGAGACACTCAGCAATGATAGTAGTGGATGCTTTTGTGTGTGTGTGTGTGTGTGTGTGTTTGTGCGCACATGTGCATGTGCGTGTGTGTCCTTTATCCTTTTTGCTCAAGGCTGGAGTTCTTCCACTTGAGCCACAGTTCCACTCCTGGATTTTTGCTCATTAATTAGGCTTAGTTAATAGACTTTCCTGATGTATTGGCTTTGAACTATGTAGCTAGGATTACAGACGTGAGCCACTGGCACCTAGTTTGGATGCTCTATTGCACTGTCCTCTCTAAGAGTATCCTCGGGCTATGTGACCCTCACCCTACCCACAGCACTCAGTGCTAATGTCGGAAACATTCAGTAATTATTATGAATTAGTCTGCACGTGTCTTTATGAGATCATAAATTACTAAAGGTATGAAGCTTTGCAAGCAGCCCAGGGCCCATAGTTTGTTGAACTGAGTCATTATTTGCAAGTCTTTCCAAACCTACTCAATGACTTTGTAGGTGGGAGTTAGGCAGAAGTGGAAGGGGGCTGGGATGGATGCTGATGAGCATTGTGCATGAGTCCACCCATTCCAGAGCCCTCCAATGGTGTTTTTGATCCTTGACTCACATGTATGAGTCTGTGTCAGAGCAGCTCCTCTTTCTGGGGCCTAATCTATCAGGGACTTATTGCTCTGAGACAAGGCCTCTGCCTAGCTGAGTTTTCACCTGACACCTCTGCATCTGGGAAGTCCTCCAGCCTGAGACTGTTACACTTGAGACACAGGCACTATGTTTCATAAAGAGCTGCATAGGTTTCTGTGACATGCCAAGCTGGATGACTGGTCACTGTGTTTTGTCAAACTTTTATAGCTGCTGAGGTTGACCCGAGGCCCTTATCTGTTTTTTGCTGACTAGATAATTACACATCTGGCTATCTGGACATTCTACTCATTACTGTCATTACTCATTACTCTTCAGAAATCTTGCTCAGCCCTCCTCCCCTCCTACCCCAGTCTCTTTCTTTCTCTTCTTCTTCCTCCCTCTCTCATGTTGTGTGTGTGTGTGTGTGTGTGTGTGTGTGTGTGTATGTATGTGTGTGTGTTCTAGGGTTTGAACTCAGGACCTTGCATTTGCTAGGTAATTTTTTACCAATTGAATTACATCCCAGCCCTTTTTGGTTTAATTAATTTTTTTAGATTGGGTCTTGCTTTTTTATTTTTCTTATTTGTGCCTATTTTGGGGTTTGAACTCAGGCCTGGGCGTTGTCCTTGAGTTTTTTATGCTCAAGGCTAGCACTTTGCCACTTGAAGCCACAGCTTCACTTCTGGATTTTTTTGGTAGTCAGTTGGAGATAAAGTCTCACAGAGTTCCCTGTCCAGGCTGGTTTTGAACTGTGCTCTTCAGATCTCAACCTCCTAAGTAACTAGGCTTATGGACATGAACCACCAGTGCCCAGCTTAGGTCTTGCTTTTTGAGTAAGATAGCCTCAGACCTTAACCCTCCTACTTACATATAGTTGAGATTACAGATGGGCTCTACCATGCCTGGCTTGTTGGATGAGATGGAGGTCTTACGCATTTTTTTGCTCAGTTTGGCCTCAAACTGCAGCCCTCCTGATCTCTGCTTCCTAGGTAGCTAGGACCACAGATCTGAGCCACTCGCTTTTTGAGACAAAGTCTTGGCATTTGGTCCAGCTTGAACTTGCTATGTAGTCCCAGTTGGCATCAAACATGAGATCCTACTGCCTTGAACAAAATGAAGAAGCCCAATCAAAAGTTAGGCTTGGATGGCTCAAGGAGCACATGGCATACCTCCTGAGGCTGGAGAGCATGCAGAGGTCCTTGGTAATCATACCCAACACTTAGTGTCTTTTTTGTGCCAGCCACTGTTTTAGGTGTTTTACATATATGGAATTCATTTCACTGAGGTAACCGCTAATTCTATTGCAGTTTGTAGCCCATGATACTGTAAAATGGAGAGGCATGAAGTCAGGACACATACACACACATACACATATACAAACACACATTTGGTGCTGGCACTGGGACTTGAATTTAGGGCCTGAGTGTTTTTTTTTTTTTCTCTCTCACTTGAGCCTTTCTTGTAGTAAATTGGAAATAAGAGTCTCATTGACTTCATTGCCTGGGCTGGCTTCAAACTGCTCCTCAGATCTGTCTCCTGAGTAGCTAGGATTGTTAAGTATGAGCCCCCGATGCCCTGGTACAGTCAGGATTTAAGCCTTGCTTATCTTTAACTTTTGTACCTTCCTAATGCTCAAGGTTATGAAATGGAAGAGCCTGACTGCACAGCGAGTAGATCCCAGCTAAGCAAGCAGAGATGTGGAGCCAGCCTCTCATGGATAGTATACAGACAAAGAGTACCAGGCATTGGGTTGTAAAGCTGGTGACCACCCTCCCAATAAGGATCTCTAAGAGCCGGAGGAGCTATCAGAGCCAGAGGGTGCTAAAGGATTTTGAAAGTAGCAAGCTGCTACACACAACAAATCAGGTGTGAGTGTATTAGGCATTTGCAGGGCTCTATCAGCCTGTCCAGGACTGCTTCAAGCTCCAGACTCCAGTGAAAGGGTACTGACTTGCCTTTTCATGGCTTCAGTTATTTGTGTCCCAAGTTCCTAGCTCAAGGTCTGGGCAATGCTGTAATTTAGGGAAGGAGATCTTCCAACCATGCTTGTTGGGTAAAGTACTTCTGACAACTGCCATTTAGCCAGGCTGGTTTCTTTTGCCCTGTAGTGTGATTCTTTCTCTTTTCTTTCTTTCTTTATTGTATGTGTGTGTGTGTGTGTGTGTGTGTGTGTGTGTGTGTGTGTGTGTGTTTGTAGGTGAATGATCAGGCACTCCCTGCATGGGCTTTTGTGGAGGTAGGGTGCTGATAGAACAGGGGGTGTAAATAGCTCTTAAATAACATTTGTACCTGTACATTGTACCTCTGAATTCTGGAGTTGTAGATGACTAGGGAAGAGATGCTCAAGAAAACAAGAGTTGGGTGTTAGAGACTCTGTAATCCTAGCTTCTGAAAAGGCTGGGATCTGAGGATCATAGATCAAAGCCAGACCTGGAGGAAAAGTCTATAAAACTCTTATCTCCAATTAACCACCAAAAAGCCAGAAGTGGAGCTGTGGCTCAAGTGGTAACCTGAGATGGCCTTCAGCGAAGGGACAGTGCCCAGACCCTGAGTTTAAGCTATAGTATTGATGTGTGTGTGTGTGTGTGTGTGTGTGTGTGTGTGTGTGTGCATTACCCCCAAACCCAAACAAATAAACAACAAACAACAAGAACAAAAAACCAAAACTAGGCAGAATCTAACTCTCAGACCAGTTTTCTTTCTTTCCTTCCTTCCTTCCTTCCTTCCTTCCTTCCTTCCTTCCTTCTTTCCTTCCTTCCTTCCTTCCTTCCTTCCTTCCTTCCTTCCTTCCTTCCTTCCTTCCTTCCTTCCTTCCTTCCTTCTTGTCTTCCTTCCCTCCTTCCCTCCTTCCTCTCCTTTCCTACCCCCTCCCTCTTTTCCTTCCTTTAACAGCATTGGGCTTTCTTGCTTGCTCTACTACTTGAGCCATGTGACCAAGTAAGAATACTTGGTGATTCACTTTGGGTGAAGGGGTAGAGAGGAAAAGAGAGATAAAGAAACAGAAGGGTTGGGGCAGGGAGGATAGAGACTGGAGAAGAAGGAAGGCTACAGGGGGTGGGAGAGATTCTCACCTGAGGGCTGGGGCGGCTTTGCCCACTCAATAAAAGGGTGGCGATGATGAATGAGGGCTCGCTGGCACTTCTCCACATCCCCATTCTGTTCAATCATATCCACAATTTCCTGGATCCATGTTGTTCCTGAGGGTCACAGGGGAGGGTTGAGGAGCAAAACCTTGTTAGGTAATCTTTGCTGCATGTTCTAAGCAAGCAAAGAGGCAAGTAGGCAGTTGGTGACTACCATCTGCCCTTAGGTCAGAGTCCTGATACCCAGGACAAATGGAGAAAACTGTCTCTGCAAGGAGCAGAATGCAGAGGCAAAGCTCACAGCTGCTCAAGAGCAGTGCCTGGCAGAGGACAGCAGGCAAGGTTCCATAACTACTTCTCTGGTCCTCAGAAAACCCAGGTTACCATGCATCTGAGCACGTGTGAATTAGTGGGGACTGCAAGTTTAATTGTGTGTGTGTGTGTGTGTGTGTGTGTGTGTGTGTGTGTGTGTGTGTATGTGCTGGTATTGGAACTTGAACACAGGGCCTTGAGATTTTGCTTGGCTTTTTTTTTCTTGGCTAGTACCTACACTTTAGCCACAACTTCACTTCTGGCTTTTTGGTGATAAATAGGAGGTAGGAGACTCATGGACTTTCCTGTCCAAGCTGCCTTTGAACCTTGATCTGCAGATCTCAGCTCATTGCATAGTGGGGTATCTAACTTAGGTAAGCAGCTCAGGCATGCTGGCTCAACGGGGGAGGTCCCAAAGTCACCTGATTTAGGGTAGGTACAGATGAGGAGATCATCTGGCTTGGCCTGAAAGTTCTGGATATGGCTCCAGTTGTCCGCTGCTGCCTGTAACAGAGGAACCCCCTCTATCTCTCTTATTACGATTTCTTTCCTCAACTGTGGGGTTTGGGCCATAGTGTCTCCAGGTGGAGGGTCCCTATGAGAAGAGAAGAGAAACTACAGTAAATTACACACAATATGATACTGACCATTGTAACTATGTGTAGATATGTAGTTACTTTAGTGGCATTAGTTATATTTACAGTGTTGTGTCCCCATTACCAGCATCCATCTCTAGAACTTTTTAAAAAATCTTCCCAGCAGAACTCTGTCTCTGTTAAACATCAACTCCTCATCGCTCCCTCAATTCACGGTAGCCACCATCCACCTTCTAATATCTATGACCTTGAGATGCTTTATATAAGTAAATAATAAAATGTACAACACTATGTTTGGGCGTGGGGGTGGGGTAGGCGTGTAGTTGTAGAAGTGGGAGATAAGGGATGATAGGGGAAAAACAAAGGAGGAGGAGGTGACAATTCTTGATAAGAAATGTACTCATAACCTTGCTCATGTAACTGTAATCCCTCTGTACAGTATTTTTACAGTAAAAAGCATTAAAATAAAGTAATTAATATAATATTTGTATTTTTTTGTGTGTGTGCTGGTGCTGGGGCTTGAACTCACAGCTTTGAACATTTGCTAGGCTTTTTTGTTCATTTGTGCTCAACTTTACTTCCGACTTTTTGCTAGTTAACTGGAGATCAGAGTCTCTCAGATTGTCTGCCTAGAGCAAGATCAACAGAAAGTCCATGGATTGGGAGAAGATCTTCACTAGCCATACATTGAACAAGGGTCTCATATCTAAAATATACATAGAACTCAAAAAAATTAAATCTCTCAACAACAAATCCTCAAAGAAACATTGGCCACATTAATAAGTGGGCTAAAGACTTAAAGAGAGACTTCTCTAAAGAGGAAATAAGAAGGGCCAATAGACACATGAAGAAATGCTCAACTTCTCTAGCCATAAAAGAAATGCGTTGTTGAAAGCTCAGGATGGAAAGAGTATCCTCACAGACAGAGAAAATAGTCCAAGCCAGGTGATGGTGCTCCTGCCTGTAATCCTAGCTACTCAGGAAGTTGAGATCTGAGGATCACAGTTTAAAGTCAGCCTGAGCAAGAAATTCTATGAGACTTACCTCCAGTTAACCAGCAACTAGCTGAAAGTGAAGCTGTGGCTCAAGTGGTAGAGTACTAGCCTCAAGGGACAGCCAAGAGACAGTGCCTAGGCTCTTAGTTCAAGCTCTAGTTCTGGCATACATGCACACACACACACATAAACACACACATACACACACAAAGTAGCCAAGGCCAAAGTTCAACTTGTTTTGGTGGGAGAAGGAAAAAAGGCTTCTGGGAAAAAGGGAGTTGGTATTTTGAGCAGGGAGAGCTTTTGGAAGCTACAGCTTAGATTTCTAGATCTAACTTAGGCAGGAGTTCTTTGGTTACACGTATCTAAAAACATTTTTTTTTTTTTTGGTGTATGCTGGTCCCAAGCTTGAACTCAGGACCTGGGTGCTGTCTCTGAGCTTTTGCATCCAAGGCTAGTACTCTATGGTGTGAACCGTATCTCTGCTTCTGGCTTTTTGGGGGTTAACTGGAGGAAAAACTCTTACATATTTTCCTTCCCCAGGCTGGATTTGAGCTGTAATCCTCTGATCTCAGCCTCCTGAATACCTAGGATTGCAGGTATGAGCCACCAGTAGCAACTAGCCACACATATATTTTTGTTGACTTTTTTTTTTTCTGGTTCCTTAGGTTTTTTGACTTGACTAAATTATACAATAACACGTACTTGACTAAAGATTGAAGAAATACACTAAAGAGTTACATAAAGTATTACTTAAACAAACCCATTCTTACCTTCAAGTTCTAGCTGAGAGCTAGCAGCTCCAGGGCCTGCAAAAGGGTCACTGAGCAGGGACAGTACATTCCAAGGAAGTAGGGTGGAGCTACCTGAGTATGACACTGTTAGAGGCTCAAATTACCATGAGGCCAGAGGTCCATGACCTTCAGCAGGCAGAAGGCACTTTGAGAGGTTCTCATGTCCATGGAGTTAATTGGAGTCATTACAAGCAAAGTTTGTACTACACAAAAACAAACCTTGTCACTTACCCTTGTCAATCACCTTATGGTGAGTGGTGATTGTGCATCTGGGACCCTGGCTTCCCTGTGGTCTTTTGCAAGAGTGGATGGAGGCAAACACTGTTTCTCTCTCTGTGACCACCTAGAGACTTGTAGCAAGCCCAGTGTGTTTCCTGTTCTGGCGCCTCCCTCCAGTTTGGCAGGGAATCCAAAATGGGCAGAGATAGGCAACATAGCTATGCTTTCTGGTCAAAGAAAACTCAGCCCAAAGCTTTCTATGCTTCTGACTTTTGCAAAAGAAAAAAAAAAAAAGAAAAAAGAAAAAGGCATATGCCTCTTTGAACACACAGCCCTTGTTAATCATTTAAACTAACAGTGCCAGGTTGGTTACCTGACTCTCTCCTCCCTTTTTAAGACACATAATGCCAAGATATGCCAAATCAGTAGATTCCTAGCCACTAGGTTTTGTTAATGATTTCCTAACCTAAGGAGTTCTCTTCCTACGTTGCATAAAGATGAAAGAAAAGAGCCTAAAACCTGTGTTATGGTGTTTTAGGCCACCTGCCTATTGTATTTGTTTTGCTGGCCTCCTGAAAATATTCTTTTCCTTCCTCAACAATTTGTGTGTGTGTGTGTGTGTGTGTGTTGTGTGTGTGTGTGTGTGTGTGTATGCTTGAACTAATTTAGCTTCTTTGCTTAAGGCTGGCACAATACCATTGGTTAGCATAATAACCATCTGATTAGTTGGAGATAAGACTCTCATAGACTTTTCTGACCAGGCTGGCTTTACACCAAGATCCACAGATCTGAATGGCTAATATTATTGGTGAGAGCCAATGGTGTTCAGATTTTCCCAACAATTATATCCTCAATCCATTGAACCTCTTTTGAGTGGCAAATAAATGGATCGGGGTTCAGTAATAGGGGAAAATGAAGAGTTGGTTTTTGGACCAAATGCATCCAGCTCCAAACGGTTTCCATTCCTTTTGTGAGACTCTCTTCTTAAAGAGATTTTCTTTTTTTCTTTTTTATAATATTTTTATTCTCTCTCTCTCTGTTTTTTTTTTTTTTTTTTTTGCCGGTCGTGGGGCCTGAACTCTGGGTCTGGGCACTGTCCCTCAGCTCTTCAGCTCAAGGCTTGCACTCTACCACTGGAGTCACAGCGCCACTTCCGGCTTTTTCTGTTTATGTGGTGCTGAGGAATCGAACCCAGGGCCACATGCTTGCAAGGCATGCACTCTACCGCTGAGCTACCTTCCCAGCCCCTATTTTTATTCTCTTTAAATAGTTGTATAAAGAAGTTACCATTCAACAAAGCAGCTTATGAATACAGTGTGTTTTGGTCAATGTCACCCCTTTCAACGTTCTCATGTACCCCTCTCAAACCCATCTCTTCCCTCACTTTTCTTAATTTTTAGTATATTGAATTTTTTGCTACTTAACTAAGAAGTTTATGTATACAATGCGTCATGATCTATGCGAGATTTTTCTTAGTGAAATTTCCTTTCTGCATGTATGTAATGTGGTACCTATATTCAATTGATGATTGTGTGTGTGTGTGTGTGTGTGTGTGTGTGTGTGTGTGTGCTGGGTCTAGAACTCAGGGCCTAGGCATTTTCCCTTAGCTTTTTTGCTCAAGGCTCATGCTGTACCACTTGAGTCATAGTTCCACTTCCACTTTTTTGTTATTTTGGTTTTCTTTTTTTTTTTTTAATACATTTTTATTCTAAAAATACTATACAGAGGGATTACAGTTACATGAGCAAGGTAATGAGTACATTTCCTATCAAACATTGTCACCTCCTCCTTTGTTTTTCCCCTACCATCCCTTCCCTCCCACTTCTACAACTATACTCCCCTGCTCTGTTATTTTGCTTTTCTTTTGCCAGTCCTTGAACTCAGGGCCTGGGTGCTGTCCCTGAGCTAGCTTTTGTGATTAAGGCCAGTGCTCTACCACTTGAGCCACAGCTCCATTTCTGGCTTTTTAGGATTTAATTGGAGATGAGTCTCATGAACTTTCTTGCCCAGGCTAGCTTCAAATTGTGACCCACAGACCTCAGCTGCCTGAGTAGCAAGGATTACAGGTATAAGCCATTGGTGCCAGGCTCCAACTGATATTGTATGATTAAAAACATCAGGGTAATGAAAACTACCTGTCTAGCACCATAGTAAGTGTTTCCAAATGCTGGTTCTTCTTTTCTCCATCCCTGCCCCCCAATATAGTCATCAATGCCTATATGTGGAAGAAATAGAATAAAAATTTACATGTGTAGTTATTTATATTTATATCATATCTTATACAAAAGACATACTTGCATGAAGGTAGCTTAGGTTTCTGGAGTTCCTGGCTACCTGTGAAACTGAACGGATCATTCTGCCAACCTGTTCATAACTTACTCTTTAATTTCTTGAATTCAAGTATTAAATCTGTATTCAGCTTGCGTTCCTGCCAAAGCTTGCCTTGCCTTCCCTGACCCTGTCCCTGCTGATGTTACATAGCGGGGACCTCACATTCCTCCCCTTTCCAAAGGGTGTTTTCTTTCTTTAATTGTGAATTATTTTTCTTCCTTCTGTTCTCTTTCCAATTCACCTCTCTTGGTGCTGTCAACTCAGTCCCATGACTGTCATAGTTCTCAGCATTTACTCAAATATGTTCTCTGCAGTTGAAGTCTCTCATGTCTAGCTGTCTGCTTATGTGTTGAGAATACCACCATACATCAAATTTCACCATCTTTCACACCTGACTCCTCCTACCTATCAATGCCATTGATTAATTAATTATGTATTTATTGAGGGAGTCCATCTATCCCATTGCAGTTAGTAACCATTGCACATAACTGCTTCTTCCTGGGACACTGCACAACCAACCTTCCAGCCACTCTGCTGTCCTTTGGTCTCAGACACTCAGCATAAAGACTAAGCTCAGTTCAGATCGGTATCCTTGTGGTTGTTGATGACCCAAGTCTGGAAGTTTCCATCTGGAATTCAAGGTGCTTTTACTCCGTTTACCACGGTCCTCTCATACCAGATGAAATGTGCAAGTAACTGTTCCCTACATGCACTCTATAGTTCCAGACTCTGCTTCATGTCTGTAATTTTCCTTGCCAAAATGCTTTTAATTCATTTAATTTTAATATTAATTCATTTTAATTCATTTAATACACGGAGTCAAATCTGTCACTGTTGCTCCCATCTTTCAATTGAAGTCTTTCCGTAGGTTCCAGCTGACAGTAATCTGGACTGTGATCTATCACATGTTATTATTTTTCATATGCTTTTTAATTTTAATTTTATTTTTCATATGATTTTTAGAAATACAAGTTTTATTAAGATCTAACTCACATGCTATATATGTTACTCATTTGAAGTTAAAGTTCAGTTGGTTTTAATTATTCATGTATCACTTTAATCTTGTGTGTGTGTGTGTGTGTGTGTGTGTGTGTGCGCGCGCGCGCGCGTCTGTGCACACGCACCTACACCTACCATACTGGGGTGTGAACTCAAGGCCTCATGGTCTCACTTGGTTTTCCACTCAGGGTTGGCACTCTGCACTTGAGCCATACCTTCACTTCTAGCTTTTTGCTGGTTAATTGGAGATAAAGAGTCTCTTGGGTTTGTCTGCCAGTGCTGGCTTTGATCTTCAATCTTTATATCTCATTCTCCTGAGGAGCTAGGATTACAGGCATGAGCCACCAGCACCTGGCTTATTATTGCATTTAGCTCTCTAGCCACTGGTTCTTGGCACATCACTATAACTTTAAGAAGATTTTTCTGTCTCATAAATAAACCCAAGGCTAATGACAGAGCCCTAGAATGCATGAGGGCCTGGATTCCATCTCCATTACTGAAAAAATAAACAACCCAAGCCCAGTTAACAGTCATTTTTAATTCTCTTATCTCTCACCCTTAGGTAGTCACTAATTTATTTTATGTATCTATAAACTTGCCTATTATGGGATATTTTATGTAATTGTAAATCAATCTGATTTAAAGTGTCCCTAAATTGGTAACTTAATGCCCAATCCCATACTGTTGAAAGGAAAGACCTTTAAAAAATGATTAGAAGCTAGGTGCTCATGGCCCATACCTGTAATCCTAGCTACTCAGGAGGGTAAGATCTGAGGATCAAGGTTTGAAGCTTATTTGCACAGGAAAGTCCATGAGGCTTTTATGTCCAATTAAATACCCAAAAGTTGAAAGTAGAGTTATGGCTCAAGTGATAGAGCACTAGCCTTGAACACAAAAGCCCAGATCCTGAATCCAAGCCACAGGATTCCACGCACATGTGGGCACACACACACACACACACACACACACACACACACACACACACACACACACACACGATTAATGCTAGGTGCAAGTGGCTCATGCCTATAATCCTAAACTACTCAAGAAGCTGAGCTCTGAGGATAACAATTCAAAACCAGTCTGGGTAGAGAAGTCTGCAAGACTCTTGTCTCCAATTAATCACCCCAAAAAGTTCGAGTGGAGCTGTGGTTCAAGTGGTTGAGCACTAGCCTTTAGCAAAAATGTTCAGAAACACTGCCCAGGTTGGCTTCAAATTGTGATCTTCAAGTCTTAGCCTCCATAGTAGCTAAGATTACAGGCATGAGCCACCACCACCTGGCTTACATTTAGCTTTCTAGCTACCCTGCTGCTTTTCTTCCAAGAGAACACTGAGCCAGTGGGGGTGGGGGTGGGGTGCTGGGGTGGGGGATAGGATGTGTGGCTCCAGATCACAGCAGCAGGGCTCAGGTTTGAATCCCAGCAGGCAGCAGCTTAAATCAGGCTTTCAAGTCTCTCTCTCTCTCTCTCTCTCTCTCTCTCTCTCTCTCTCTCTGACTTACTCCTCAGTTTTTAATTTCTTTATTGTAAAAATATGGTACAGAGGGGTTACAGTTACATGAGTAAGGTAATGAGTACATTTCCTATTGAGCATTGTTACCTCCTCCTTTGTTTTTCCCCTACCATCCCTTTCCTCCCCACCTCTCCAACTTCTTTCTCCCACCCCAAGTTGTAAAGTTCATTTTCAACACAGTGTCTTGTACATCTCATTGTTACAATGGGTCAACCCGTGTCCTTATTTCAGCATTTTGTTATTTCCCTTCTCCCCCCCCCAAATTAGAAAAATGCATATACA